GGTACAGGCTAGTCATCACAGACCAGTGCAGCATTATATAATTGAAAATGTTGAATCAGCCTCCCAATGTCTCCTTCTTGACTGACACTTGAGGTCAGTATGAAGCCCTTAGGTGGAATTAGATTTAATTAGCATCCGTCTCTGCTGTCTGTCTCTTATCCTCTGGAGTCAGAGCACTCATACTCACTCATTCAAAGCACTGACCAGCCCTTTTGTTTCTGGACTGTGAACCATCTCGCTGCCTGAAGAGTGAGGCCTGTGTTCTTATTGCCCGTTCACTTCAGCTCAAACCAGCAATGGCCACCAAATCATTGTATGTCTTACATCCAACTGGATATATATATAAATGCAGAACATCCATTGTATTCAGTGTCAAATGTGAAATAGAACACATTATAGAATGTCTCAATGTCAGTTTTTGAGGGTTTGCAAAAACAAGATGGTCCTCACTGCAGAACATGAAATCCATGGGGAGGAGTCGGATCCAGATCCAACTCCTCCCACCTTAAAAATACCTAAACCTACCCAGCTCCACCCCCTGATCCCTAAACCCTCCCCTAAACCTACCCAGCTCCATCCCCTGATCTCTAAACCCACCCCTAAACCTACCTAACTCCACCCCTTAGATCTGGATCCGACTCCGCCCCCTGGATCTCGTGTACTGCAATGAGGTGCTACTGGCTAAAACGCAGTTTTGTGCCTGGCCCTTTAAATGCAAATAAGCTGCTGCAGAGGGCGGGTTTTCAAGAGCTCGCGTGTGTTAGCAGCTGCAATTTCCTCACGCAGACACACTAAAATGACAGAAACTGTCCTCCCTTTAGGGTGTACTCACACTAGCCAGTTTGAACCGTGCTCGAGTGCGTTTGACCACCAAAGTGCGGTTCGTTTGACTGGTGTGAGTGCTCTGAACCGTGCCCGGGCGCGGCTCGATTAGCCGGCCCTGGCCCGCTTGGAAGAGGTGGGCCAGCCAGAGCACGGTTCAGTTGGACTCGGGCACGGTTCGCATGCAGTGTGAGCGCTAACAGGACGCAACAGGACGCGTGAAGTTATGGTTTTGGGAACTGTAGTCCGTAATCAAAGCTGCAAAGTCCTTGCTGCACTTCAGCTGGTACCTTGCAAACCTCCTCATACGAGCAGCACGATTACGTGAAAATTTTCGCGCAACTAAGGCGACACATCTGTTTAACAACAGGCTGTGAGAGGGCTGTGGACCACCGTGGACCAAACGACACAAAATGATCCACAAAGAAAACAGAGCGATGGACTCCATTGTGTTCAGAGAGCGCCGCTCTTCTAGTTTATGGTAAACCTCTTCGGGTTTATCCCGAAACCGTCGCACCATAATGACGTAAGCGTGCTCCGGCACGAATGCTGCTGAAACACTATGTGAGTGCAAGCCAGAGGGGGAGCGGGGAGGGGGGACAATCGTACTCGGGCCCGGTTCATGACCCTTAATGTTAAAACGGAGTCAGTCAAAGATGGAGAGACTCAAGAAGTAACATGTAGATTACAACAGGACATCCCTGAATGGTTGGCTGATGAATTTATGTTGCTGAGAGTTAACTATCTTCAATTAGGATATTCTGTCATGTAATCTATAAATCTCTCATATAGGAACTGTTGGGAGATTCACACAGAGTGACTTTCTATTGCATGTGAAAAGATGGATGGTAAAGTTTGAGCTGACTCACAAATGTAGGCTATTCTTATACAACAACTCTTCCTCTTCTCAACATGGACTGCTTGTTCCCGGGGGTGGAGTTTAGGTACATTTTAGGGTTGGTGATGTCACTAACCCGGGAGGAATGTTGTGTAGTCCCTACCAGCCGTTTGTTGTAGTCCTTTTCTTTAAAAGCAAATATCTTCTTTTGCTTTGAACTTTGAGTGTTGTAACTTTGATAATGTTGTTTATGCTCAAACATCCACATTACACATTAACTAAATTTAGAAAAGTGAAATCATACTTTACCACCCTTTTTGTAAATATTTTTTGTAATTTGTAGTTCATATTATAAAAAGTTAGAAAACGGACCTTCCCAAAAACTCTCCTCCAGATTCATAAATGCTTCATAAACATCTCAAAATAGATTTTACAAAGCTAAATTATTCATAAATATAAAAAATCATACATAATTAATAAATATTTGTTTTTCAGGGTTTGCATTTAAGGGGTTAATTTTAAAAAAAAAAAAATATTAAGAAGCAGTGAAGTAGTAGTTATTCCAAAATAATAAGACTATTTTCTTCATTGTGACATTAGGGCAGTTTTTGAGTACTTAAAAAATGTTTTATTAATGTAGAAATGAAAAATATACTAATTAAATTAGAGGTATCAAATTCACTCTTTGTGTAGCAGAATTATTATTTTATATATATATATATATAATTTCATTTTTAATTATAAAAAAAAGAACAAATGAGCATCATGACACAAATGTTCCCAGGAGCCTAATGTAAGTTAATTTTCCAATGTTTCACTGATGTCACTGCACAGTCTGTCCCAGTGTCTGTTTCATGGCTGTCTGATTTTGGGAGACAGATTGCATAACAAGTACAGGCATGATGTGCCTTCCGGGTTTTCAGTCGAGGAGCTTTTAATCATCTCAAAAGCTCAGTCAATTAAACTAAGTCATTATAGCCCCCAGACTATCCAAACTGGCCCTATACTTTACCCACCTAACACACACACTCACACACACATACGCACGCACAGCTTTTTCTCACCCAAGACCCGCTGCTGTCTCCTCATGGCTTCTGCCCCAAGGGCAGAGAGGAACAAATGGCAAACAGAAAGATATTGAGAGAGGGGAAGGATTGGTTCAATCTAGCAAGATTCATCAGAATCATGCACCAGAAAAGTCATTCTTCATTAAGACAAAGCTGAGAGCTTGCAGTATAAAAACAGAATGATTGATACCATCCAAAAACTGATTAGAACTCCAATTAGAAAAGCTCAAGAGATTAATTATAACAATAAGCATAAAGTGAAACGTCTATATAACACAGCTACCAACAATTATTCAGACAGATAAAGAGACAGAGCAGAAGGCAAAACAGTAGGTATAGACGTGCTTAATAATTTCCACCATAAATAGAGATATCCATATCCATTCTCTAAATAACTTAATTGTATAAGACTTAACACTTAAATAGTAACACTTTCACCAAGTTTTACTTGAAATACTTTGAAACTATTTATAAAGGCTTTCTGTGCCTTGCAGCTGTGCCATAGCATCTCAGTAAAGAATGGTACTGATGGATCATTCACGTTACAATGTCGCCATCTAGTGGCAATTCAAACATTATCCTTGCAATATTGTGTAGCACAGGTGCAAGTGAATGCAAGTCTGTACCCAGACCCATTTGGAATCTTTGAGTGGAATTGCAACTGTTTCACTCACAAAATCTAAACTGTTAATAATTTTGGGGGGTAAAAATCCAGCTAACGCAGTCCTGTGAAGAGGTTACCATGGTAACTTACTCTGTGAAGTGAACCTAACCTGGTCGGGAGCAGGTTTCTGTAAACCCAGAGTTTATTTCGGTCTCCCCTTTTTAAAGAGGAAGTGGTGTTTAAACACTTCAAATGTCTTTCGGTATATTTATTCATTGCTGGTTTTTTCCCATTTTTTTTTTAATGAAATCTATATAACTGACAACTGAAAATACAGTAGATTAGAGTAACATCATGTAGTTTTGAATAAATTCTACAGAATTAAACTGTGGCATTTACAGAAAATCACTGAACTGTGTTTATGTTTGCACCAGACGTTGATGGACCTTCCTCCTGTTCTTCCACACACTGGGGATGGGGGGGAGATATAAGAATATTAGTTTATACTTAGATATAGATTTAGATTCTATAGGCTACTCCTCATAAATAATGTGAAGAAATGTGAATGTGTAAATTGTTTGATGTAGACACATAATATTAACATTTACTCTGCATCAGAAACTGTTTCTTCATCTCCGTCATCCTGTGAAGATGAGCATTTGATTGAGCACATTTTATATTTGTCATCATTTCCGGTGTATTGAGTAGGTTACTGTCTGGGGTTCTGTTGGGACAGGAGGCTCCAAAAGACAGATATTACCATCAGAATCTGTTTGGAGCAACAACAACAAAATATTAAAAAAAATATATGGGAGCAACAAAAAAGTAAAATATATGAAAATATCAAAAACAACCTATATAAAAAATAACACGTATGTAGATCTCTTACATTTTATGAAGGCTCTTGAAACTTCCCTCAGCCATTGGCCTTCCAGCATTCAGGCTCAGGGCCTTCTCCGTCTCCATCTCCTCTGCATCTCCATCTCCATCTTCATCTCCTCTGCATCTCCATCCATTTCATCAAATGTTGCTGCACTGCTAAACACTGGATGCTATTTACTTAATATGTCAAATGTTTGTCAAGTCATGGTAGCCTACATTTATGATATGCTCAAGCCTTACCTGAATGAATTATATTTTTATATTTCATTTTCAGCTGCTGCCACATTCTTTTAATGCCTGCAGGATTGCACCTTGAAAATTAAAATGAGGTTGAATAACATACTGTTCTTCCAGTTTCACCTCTGTTATTATAACAGTTGGGTAAGTTACTCTGAAATAGTTATTATTTACTATAGAAATTACATCTTCAACAGTGTAATTAGATTAATGTAATAATTACTATCTCTAGAAAGTATTGGTCTACTTATTACTAATTACTTTATAAATCCCATCAACTTCAACCACTTGAACAATACAAAAAGAGACAATAAACTGCACTTTTAATGTTTTCAAATTAACAATATACAAGTGCATGAATTATTCTTGAATTGACCAAAGTGTGTAGAGAGAGATGTTATGTTAAATCGACTATTGTTTTATACAGAATTGTTCTATAGTTTATGCAGTCTTTGATGCAATGGTATCATATTTTACTTTATATTACAGAAAAATTAAGAGTAGTAGGGGGCGGAACTATTATTTTGGGCCTTCGTTCCTTTGGGGAACCTTTCCAGGGAAGGACCCAGGACTTCTCCGGTTCCTGGTAGATGTGCAGCAGGTGCGCATTGTAAGCGCGTTGATGTCTGGTTGGGGAGCGCCATGCCAGCACATTTTAAAAGGTCTTTGTTTGTTTGTTGATTCAAAAAAAGGAAGGGGGAGAAAAGAGAGAGAAAAAGGAACGACGTGTAGCCTTTTGTGCGGGTTAAAGTCCTCGGCGAGCAAGGAGAGTGCAACAGGGAGATAAGTGACATTTGGGCTGGAGCGAACGATATGAGCAATGTATATGATTATGTGGGCTGGTGTGTGGAATTGATGATTGCCTGAAGTACTGCGGCAGGAAAGTATTCTACGATTGGCTCTGTGCGCTGTTGGGACTTCATTGATGAAGATAGAAGAGCTGAAGCCTGAAGCCATGCTGAAGCCTGATTTGTGAGTGAAGAGATTATGATTCAATCCTAATTCATCCCCTTACAAACATCAAAAAAGAGAAGTATTACAGTATTATTGAATCTGGTTTTTGCTATTATTCATCATTGAACACCGTAAGAATACAGCTTTAGTTTAGCCTACTTTACCAGTATAACCTACCATTGAATAAGCGTCTGGATGGAGAAGTAACACCAGTGATTGTGCTCATTATAACCAAACCCTCTTTTTTCATTCTCTCTGCCTGAGCCCCACAGAGAAGCAGATACGCTGATGAGCAACCGAGCCCCATTCTTTCTGCCTGAGCTCCACAGAGAAGCTTATCATTGCAGCTACGTCGGTGAGCACCCTGACCTTTCATTCTCTCTGCCTGAGCCCCACAGAGAAGCAGACACGCTGTGAACATGCCGATGGGCAACTGAGCCCCATTCTTTCTGCCTGAGCTCTACAGAGAAGCAGTTACACTGCAGCTACGTCGGTGAGCAACTTGACCCCTCATTCTCTCTGCCTGAGCCCCACAGAATAGTCACGTTGACGAGGACCTCCCTTGTGTGACCAAGTATTGTTATGGATTCCAGTGGCCTCCAATTCAGTCCAGGCCTACACGGCGAAACCATCTGCTCAACATTCTTAGACTTTTAAAATTAATAAAACATCCCTTTTAATCTGTCCATTGGTCTCTTTGTCCGTCCATTGGTGTACTCGTGGTGTTGGCTCTTCGCGGTGGGGTGTACATCCGTCCGGGTGTGGGTCCGACCATGCCGCTGCAGTGACATAAGTGGCGAAGTCGGCAGGATTCACCCACCGGGAGTTGTAGTGGCCACAGGGTCACGATTACGGACGGACATAGGTCATGCCTGTATGGGAGCTCCCTGGGCTCAGCGATATGGAGGACTAGGATCCAAGCTGGGTCTCCAGGAATGGAAGATGCAGATTACGTATCTGACAGGTTTGCAAGGGCTGAGCAACCCACAGAAGATCCAGTTTGTCCTTGGGTCCCTAGAAGGGGAAGCAAAGCGAGAAGTTTTGGCAGCATCCGAAGTTGCGCAAGCTACTGTCAAGGCCATCTTTGATTTCCTGACCGAGCTCTATGGAGATGGTACCCCGGTGGCTGTCCTTAGAGCCCAGTTCTTTAATTATCGTCAAGAACCCAGGCAAACTCTGCGGGCTTACTCTCTAAAATTGAGAGAATAATTTTCCTGGCTGAGGGGATTAGCAGACCATGGATTGGGGAAAGGGGAGACTTTACTGCGAGACCAGTTTGTCCTGGGGCTTCACGATGGGCCGGTTCGACAGAGTATCCGGCTTCAACTACGTAGAAATCCTGCATTGACCTTCGAGGCCTTTCGACAAGAAGCATTGGCTCTAGAGATAGATCAAGGTGAAACCACTGAACCACCTATCTGTATGGCGACCAGCAGTGCTTGTGCCCCTGGGCCAGATGGCAGTTATCCAAAAGTCTTGTTGAATAACTACGTCGGGGTTGGCCAAGTGACATGCCCAGGGCCCGGGATCGATCGTACTTTGACGGGAACAGAGACCCGGGACGTCGTCCTGCCCATCCAGCTGGATCTAGGTTCAAGTGGGATGACCAGGGTAGACCTATCTGCAATAGTTGCGAAAAGTCGGGGCACATAAGTCGTCAGTGTGGCACCCGTTGTGGCTCGCAAAGGGGTTTTTAGGTCTGCCGGCCACTGTGGGTCAAGTGGCCGGGACCCCTTTTAGAAACCCCCCTCCTGTGCCTACCCCCTGGGGAAGAATGAGTTGGGCATTGTCCTGAGGTTAAAATCCAGGTCAAGGGGGTGAAGATTAACTGTTTGGTCGACATTGGCTCCCAAGTTACTTTATTTACGGAGAGTCTATCTAGAGCAGTGTTTCCCAACCCTGTTCCTGGCGGCACACCAACACTGCGTGTATTCTTTGTCTCCCTTATCAAACACACCTGATTCAACCCATCAGCTAATAATCAGGTGGGTTAATGAGCTGATGGGTTGAATCGGGTGTGTTTGATTAGGGAGACAAAGAAAACACGCAGTGTTGGTGTGCCGCCAGGAACAGGGTTGGGAAACACTGATCTAGAGAACTATTTAGAGCGCTATATAAATGCAGTCCATTTACCATTTACCATATGTTAGCCTAAAGGTTATGAATGGTGTGCTCCAAAATTAGCATTTAGGCAATATAAGCATTCAAAACTTAGTCTCTCACTTCTGCTCTCACATCACCACTGACTTCAGCTTCTCATTGCATCTTCTGTCCAATTAAATGCTCTCTTGAATCTAAAGTGTCACGGTGCAATATGGGTTAACGATGTGGTTTCCAACTGTACATTGGTTGAGAATGAAATGCCTAGAATTTATTCATACCTTTACTATTGAATCCAACATAACAGCAGGGCTTGGATTCACTTCTATGGCGCCGTCAAGTACGACTCGCAGTCTGTGAGTTAAACTAAATGCTATTGGCTATTTAAAAAGGGGGAGGAGCCATTCAATATGTTCCAGTTTCAGTGGAAATTACGTCAACGCATCATAAGCTCTGCGTTCCAAAGTACTTCAGTGTGCCTTTAGGGCCCTTTTACACAAAGGACGATATAGTTACAAAAATCATTCTCAATATTATAGAATAGCAGTAGAGTTCACACCATAATGATAATGGCACAGAAATACGATATTGTTGAAATCACTTTCAAAAGGATTTTATCTAACTGATGATGAACGATAAAAACACTGACAGCCAATCAGATTCCATCGTGCTGCAATGAGCTGAAGTATTTAAAGCGGCAGACAAGTATGCGCTTAGAATACAATTTATTTATATTAACATTACATTAATAAACCCTCAGTTTTCTCTGGACCTCCGAAAAGTTAATTTGGGTTTTTTTTCTCCAGTGAGTAGATGAATTATAAACCTATTGAGCTATGCACAAACAAACCTACAAGCAATATCACATGAGTAGCCATGCAAAATAAATATGTCTTTAAAAAAATATATTATTTTGTGCAGAACTGCTTCCTTCCACCACAGATTCACTATTCAAGTTAACAGTTTAACAGTTGAGGCTTCCGTTACTAATTCTAAAACGTCACTTTAGAACTAGCAACACTGAGTTGCTTCATTGAAGCTTATTGTATTATGTGGAGAAGAGTGTTATGAGAGAGAAATCTACCAAACTAGTGCATTACCAGCATCTAGCTCAGTGTTTCCCAACCCTGTTCCTGGCGGCACACCAACACTGCGTGTATTCTTTGTCTCCCTTATCAAACACACCTGATTCAACCCATCAGCTAATAATCAGGTGGGTTAATGAGCTGATGGGTTGAATCGGGTGTGTTTGATTAGGGAGACAAAGAAAACACGCAGTGTTGGTGTGCCGCCAGGAACAGGGTTGGGAAACACTGATCTAGCTGATATTCTTCAGGTCAATCTTATATTCCTAATCACAAAATCAGTTTGAATGTCCGCTTAGGTAGGCTAAGTGATATCTTTGTCCTTTTAACAGTTAAGAGGATTTCCCAAGACAGCGCTTGTCAATTAATTTGCAAGATGCGTCCTATTGTTTACAACCTTGTTTCAGTACCTTTCAATATAAAAATCCTTTCTACTGACACACTCATAAAGACAGTATTTGCTGCAATCTAATGGTGTAATAATATAGCTTTCACTGAAGTTGAAATCACAATAACTAACGGAATCAGTTTAAACACCATCTACATAAGAGCCAGCGGCAAAATTCCAGATTCAGAAGGACTGGCCGAGATAAAGCGGTTCTCGGTGGGTACACTGAATGGCCGATTATGTCTGAACAAAATTGGCAATTAGGCTCCATGTTTATATATAAGTCACATATTTGAGGTCTAAATAACTACATTCTCGACTAAACAACTATTAAAACCACATTCTGTGACACAACAACAGTGGTTTTTGTAAAATTATGGTGTCTGCCGTGACACTCTGCAGAGACGGAGTGATACAAACAGTGAGACAGTTTCTGCGGTGTTACTGGTAGAATATTGCATGGCTGGAAAAGGCTCTCAGCCAATCAGAATCGAAAACGAGGACCAACTGTTGTATAAATATATTTATTTATGTCATGTAAATGGTCTTTGTGAAATACTCATGATTGGTCCGTGGATTAGGATGGAGTATGAAATGTCCATACAGATTTTGAACTTCAGGAACATCACCCATGAAAATACAGTTTGCTATCAAGATCACCATTATATATAAAGAAAATTTAGCCAGCAGAATTGATGCCTCACTCCCCTGCAGTCATTTTCTGCATCCCAAAATTCAGAGGCTGCATCCTTCAAAGGCAGATTGCATTACCGCAGCGGAACATAGGCTGTCCCAATTATAATGCCCCTTCAAATGCAGCCTCCATGCAGCCTTCGTTTCCACTGAAATTGAAATGAGGCGTCAGTGGAGTGAGGATCCATCTGCAGTTTATTGATAGTCAGATTCATAAGCAGTATTGTGGCGTATATTACTCAAATGAAACCAACCAAACAACTAAAACGCCACAGCAGGCTGAAACATGAGGATTCACACTGAAGACGCGTCACGCTGAACCTTTGTATGTATTGAGTCTCTTTATTACGCTATTTCACAAACATAAACAACAAATCACTTACTTCGAGCGATGCATGTTGTAAGCAGTGCAAAGGTACCTCAGAGACATCAGTAACGGATGTTAGTGATGATAACATTGGTGGGAAAAACAGTGGTAAAGCCAGTGGTGACGGTCAACAGAAAGTTTCTCCCCATAATCACCCTGCAGCCATGATCCAAACCCAAGCTTGCGCACAGGTGAGCACACTCACACATTAATACAGACATCGCACCCCCAGTAACGCCCACAGTCACCGATGACGTCACCATGCGCGTGCATGTACACAACAGTGCAAGAAAAAGAGAAAACATAATAAAAGCCCAAAACCCAGTGTATGGCTCCTACATTCCGGCCCCAAATTATTTTATAGTAATAATTGACCACCTTTACAACCCTCTTGTGGGAGACAAACACCAGTTAGAAATGCAAATTGAAACGTCATTCCTTTAAAAGTCCTGATAATGTCAAAGTTCATTTCTGATATATCCAAGGGTCTTCACTGCTCCTCTGCTTCCTGCAGAAGGCAGACTTTGGTTATTGGCCTTGTCAGACAACTGGTCTTAGTTTTAATCCGTACGCTTCGCACCAGCCCATTTTCGTCTGAAACAGTATCCACGATTCTTCCTATAACCCACGCATTACGAGGTGCCATATCATCCACCAGCACCACAAGATCTCCAGGAACAAAGTTTCTTTTGACAGCATTCCACTTCTGGCGCTCCTGAAGTCCAGGAAGATACTCCTTCACCCAGCGCTTCCAGAACAAATTAGACATATACTGCACTTGCTTCCAGCGACGACGACTATAGACATCCTCCTTCTCGAACAATCCTGGTGGCAACAATGGTTGCGACTTAAGCAGGAGCAGATGGTTAGGAGTCAAAGCCTCCAAGTCTTGAGGATCTGTTGATGCCTTGGTTAAAGGGCGGCTATTAACAATAGCTTCAGCCTCACAGAACACTGTCACCAAGCCTTCTTCATCCAGAGTCTGAGTCCTCAGAATAGAGTTTAGCACCTTACGGACTGACCGAATAAGCCTTTCCCAAGCACCTCCATGATGGGATGCTGTAGGAGGGTTAAAAACCCATTTTACATTCCTTTGTAACAGCACGTCATTGATGAGGTTCTGATTCAGATTCTCTATGGAATTCCTCAATTCACGCTCAGCACCCACAAAGTTAGTGCCATTGTCCGAATGGATTTCCAAGACTTGACCACGTCTCGCCGAAAACCGTCTGAAACCATTAATGAAGGAGTCTGTGTCCAAAGAAGACAGAACTTCAAGATGTATGGCTCGCATCGCCAAGCATGTAAAAATGAGCCCATACCTCTTGACCACAGCTCTTCCACGTTTGACTTCAAATGGTCCAAAACAGTCCAGACCAACTCGACTGAAAGGAGGCTCATCAGGAGTTATTCTGTTGTAAGGAAGGTCAGCCATTTTTTGATGTCCAGGTGAAGCAGACAATCTACAACAGATGACACACTTAGCCAAGACCTTTCTGATAGCGGCACAAGCACCAGGAATCCAATATTTCTGACGCAGGTAAGAAAGCATGTGGTTTCGTCCACCATGGCCTGTTACTTGGTGTACATGATGGAGAATAAGATTGGAGATGTGCTTATCTTTAGCCATTATAACTGGATGTTTTGCTTCAACTGGCATAGCTGCTCTACTAAGCCGTCCTCCGACTCTAATGAGATCACCATCCAGGATCGGGTTGAGCTTGTAGAGGCGGCTCGTCCTCCTTACACACTCTCCTTTCTTCAAATTGGCCAGTTCCTCCGGAAACATTGTTTTTTGGCAAAAACGGATAATACTTGACTCCGCTGCATCTATGTCCTCCATAGACAGAAGACCCTTTGGCACTTGAGCCTTAAATCCTTGCATACGGACCTGTAGCTCCTTTTCCAACTGCTCAGCACTTTGGTCCGATTCAGAAAGGGTTCTTCTCAGCAGCTTTCGATGTTGCACCAGAGACAGAAGTAAGGTCTTAAACTTGAGAAGCCAGCCAACAGCCCTTTTGAGACGGAACCAGGAGGAAAAGTATTCAATAAGCTTCTCCACTGGACTGACCTGCTCAACCTGAGCCACATTCACCATCACAGCCTTGACCTCTGGGTCTCCAATCAGAGTGTGTTCCAAAGTCTCAGGATTTTGGGGCCACTTGCTCTCAGGATCATGAAGAAAGTCAGGACCACGGAACCATGCATCAGTCTTCAGCAACGACTGAACCTTAACACCTCTGGAGGCTAGATCTGCAGGGTTGGTTAACGTACTCACATACCTCCATTGAGATGCATTAGAGATTTTCAATATTTCAGACACTCTGTTTGACACGAAGACTTTAAATCTGGACGTCTCGTTGTTTATATATTTCAAAACGGAAGTGCTGTCCGTCCAAAAGACAGACTCTTGAAGGTCCATTTGCAGCTCCTTCCTCCACAACTTGTCCATTCTGCTAGCCATCACAGCGGCAGTCAACTCCATCCGAGGAATGGTGACGAGTTTGAGAGGAGCTACTCGTGCCTTTCCCATCATAAATACGCTGTGGGTTCGACCTCTATCATCATGGAGCAACAGGTAAGTAGCAGTCCCAAACCCTTCCTCACTTGCGTCTGCAAAGTGATGAAGTTGAGCAGAGACAAGATGACCAAAGTCCACAGGTTTTAAACATCTACTAACTTCCCAATTTTTTAGCTCATGAAGCTCTTCCAGCCAAGCCATCCATTCTTTAGTCACTGACGAGGGCAAAGGTTCGTCCCATCCCAAACTTCTCCTACAGAGGTCTTGGAGGATTTTCTTGGCGCACAAAACAACTGGTGCCAAGAAACCAAGAGGGTCATAGATCGAACTCGTCACAGACAAGATTCCTCTTCGTGTGAGCGGATGAGTTTTGGGTGTAATTTTAAACTTGAATGAGTCAGATTGGATACACCACTGTACCCCCAAGACATACTCTACGGGCAGAGCGTCACTGCTCAAATCCAAATCTTTTACCTCCTTGGCGCGCTCATCCTGCGGAATAGTGGCAAGAACTGTGCGTCGGTTGCTAACCCATTTTGTGAGCTTAAACCCACCTTCCGCACACAAAGCACTAAGCTCTTTACGTAGGAGAACTGCTTCCTTTTCAGAGCCAGTCGACACCAAACAATCGTCAACATAGAAATGATGCAAGATCGCGTTAACTGCATTAGAACTAAAGCACCTTTGATTATCTTCAGCACACTTCCTCAAGGCGAAACAAGCACAACTAGGAGAAGAAGTAGCGCCAAAAAGGTGTACCGTCATTCTATACTCCACCAGCTCTTGACTGCAGTCTCCATCGGGCCACCACAGGAACCTTAACAGATCAGAGTCTTCAGCCGGCACTCGGACCTGATGATACATGGCCTCAATATCTCCCATGAGTACTACAGGTTCTTTACGGAATCGTGTAAGCACTCCCACTAACAAGTTTGTAAAATCTGGTCCCTGAAGAAGCTGCGAGTTCAACGATGTCCCCTGAAACGTTACTCCACAATCAAAGACTACACGCAGTTTTCTCTTCTTAGAATGATACACCCCATGATGAGGTATATACCATACCCTTCCATCACAACGGGTCGACTGCTCGGTTGGAACTCTCTCTGCATAACCATTAACCAACATCTTAGACATGAATGCAATGTAATCGGAGCGAAAAGATGGATCCTTATTCAGACGTCTTTTAAGACTCAACGTTGTTCTGCCACTGTCTTATTGTTTGGCATTTTGCGGTGACTTTGCTTCATCGGCAAACCAATACTATAATGACCATCAATGAGCTTAGCAGACTCTGAGACCAGCTCGATGAAGCGCTTATCCTCGACTGACAGACCAGGTTGTTCATCCTGCAAAGTTTCAGGGAAATCCACCCTCAGCTGCTTCTCCCAAAGCTCATCAAGCCTCGCCACTGAGATCCGATTAACTGTAATGTCAGGCTGCAATCCTTGTTCATTGATATGACAATCTCCATGGAGCGGGCCATTCACCGTCCAACCCAGGATGGTCTTAATTGCATAAGGGCCCCCGTTCTCTGCACGAACCACCTCCCACGGCTCCAGAGCTTGAGGAACGTTAGTGCCAATCAGAAGATCCACATCAGAATTGATCTCTGGTATTTTTATGTGCCTTAGGTGCGGCCATCTTTGAAGGTCCTTTGAGCTTGGAATGTTACCTCGATGAACCGGCATGTTCTGCTGGGTAAAAATCTCAGACAGGCCACAGAAGTTGTTTGAGTCCAGCCCAGCGACTTCCAAGTCTAACAACCTGTAACTGTCAACCACTTTCTCTTGTCCCATAGTCCTAAGGAGAATTCCCAACTTCTTCCCTGTAAGATTGAGCCGAGTCATGAGTCGCTCCGTACAAAACGAGGCGGTACTCCCGGGGTCCAAAAATGCATATGTGACCACCGTCTCTTGTCCCCTCTTAGATTTCACTTGAACAGGCAAGATAGAGAGCGTACAGTCCTTCTTGCCGGCCCCAGTCAAGCCACTAGACTGAGCAGACACCACGGCACTGTCTCTGGCCATATCCAAAACGCCATTGGCCTGAGTCGGACTCGTTGGTTTTGCTGTGGGGTGGACATGCAACAACGTGGGATGCATATTATTGCATACTTTACATGTCATACGTTTTCGGCAGTCTTTACTCATGTGTCCGACGCACAGACATCCAAAACACATACGATTCTCCTTCAAAAAGGAAATTTTCTCATCTTGTGTTCTTCTATCCAAACTGAAACAAGCATCTAACGAATGCCCAGCTCCACAAAACAAGCAAAGTTTCGCTAGCGAGTTCTTCTCCCGTTTAAACCCGGGCTCCACCTTATTCTCAGCCGGTGCTACAGTAGTAGCGAAACTACTGCCTCCAACCTTTGAACTAGGTTGAGACCGGACCATTCCTGCTCCATTTCGTCCACCTGCAGATGTCTCTTGTATATTTCCAAAGAGAGGATCGCTCGCAATCTTGACTTGCCTCTCAACGAACTCTACAATATCTGAGAACGTAGCTCTACGATGAAACTTCTCCTGAATATCGAGGGCCACACTTCTCCAATGATCCCTCAGCTTATAAGGCAGTTTTTTTACAATGATTTGCATATTCGTAGGTACATTCAGATCACTGGCGGAAACTCCCATAGAATTGCAGCATTCTCGTAACAATAAACTATAGGCCCGTAAAGCCTTGACATCTTCAGCCTTAAGCATCGGCCAGGAAAGCACCTTGTCCATATAGGCAGAAGCCACTTTAAATGGATCACCAAAATGCTCCTGAAGTAGTGATTTTGCCTTACTATAACCATGGGATGCAGGCAGATGTTGACAACTTCGGATCAAATCCCTAGGCTGACCTCTCGTATACTGCTCGAGGTAATACAAACAATCCGTCTGACTCTGTGTTCTTGCCTCAATGTTATGTTCGAATCCTCTCATGAAAGTTTGATACTGCAGTGGATCTCCGTCAAAAACTTGTAGATCTTGCTTAGGTAAGAGGAAGAGTGACTGTTGTCCAACCAATAAAGACGTGATTTGATTTTGCCTTTCTAAAACTGTGAGAAAACGCTGATCGGAGTCACTTACGGTTGCAGGTGCGGTTCCATGCTGAAAGTGAGTAATGGGTGGATTAGAAACACCCTCTGGCAAAGTGTGCTGATCAACTCTAGTCACAGCAGCAGGCAGAGTAGGTAAAGTTAACTGACCAGTCAAGGTCACAGCAGCAGAAAGCTGGCTTTTGTTACATGTCTTGGGCCTCACAGAAGCATAACTTGGACGCAAAACTTCATCTACTGACTCTGAAGCCAGTGGTTGAGTGTTAAACTCAGGCACAAAAGTTGCAGCTTCATGGCTCAACTGTGCGTTTTTCCCTCTTTCCAAATACGAATTCATCCCATCTAATTCCACAGAAACGTGAGACGCACAAGATCCTTCTGAAACCCTGAACACACTCACTTTAGCCATAGACGCTGCCAGCTCCATATCCATCTCCAGCACCTCCTTCTTTCTCCTCAACACTTCCTGCTGTTCCTCCAAAGCATGCTTCCTGCTCAGCAGCCTTTGACGAGCCATAAGGGCAGCAGTCTCAGCCTCAGCTCTTATTCTGGCTGATGATGTAGTAGACATGGGTCTACTCACTACTGTACTGGATTTCTTTGATCTCAACGACACATTAGACACACTATCACTTGGCCCAATGTCGTCATTTACATTTTCCACAGTCTTACCTATACATGCCTCACCACCGAAAACAGCAGGTTCTAAACATGGTGCAACAACCCCCTCTGCTGGTGCCTCTAGCAGCCATTTATTTGTCTCCTCCACAAAAGCAGTTTTATGGTCCTCAACACTGCAAAACCAAGCATTTTGTTTTTCTTGTTCCTCAGGTGGGAGCATAGAAACCACCACACCATGAATGTGACTCGCTTCTGTGAACAAACTTGACAAACTTTCAAGACAAGACCGTATTTTTTCAGCATTTCCAACACTGTGCATTAATTTTTTTATTTCTCTTATTCCATCTTTAATTTTTTTTACCTTTGCTTTGCGCTCTTCTTGGAGATGCTCCAATTTATATTCAAAAGCTTTAGGTGTAAGTTTTACTTGCCTTTTCTCAGTAGACCCGGTACCAGTCGACTTCATTTTCGTTTACAAGATAATCCAATGATCACAAAAATCTCTACTAACAAAATGCTTAAAACAACACCCTTTTGTCACGTTTCCATATGAACAAGGTGCAATGCTGTCTTTGATTCCCTCTAACTTATTTACAGAAGCTAAACTAACTCAACCCTAGTCTTCTGTGCATACTAGCGGTGGGTATTTATGTACCTAAATACCGATAGCCTTGAACCAGACAGACCGTCTTAGAACCAGAACTACGGCGGTACTCCCAAGCACAATGCTTCACCCGCTTGACACACGAACAAAAACACTACAAAAGGTCCCAAAACAAACAAACAGTACAATCACCTTATGTGAAAGTACCGCTAAGCCTAGCAGGGAATACAAATGTTTCTTATGTATCTTAACAGACAATCCCCAATGTTCAATATTTATGCCTTATGATAAAGACGATTGCGATGACAAATAAGCACAACAGCCAATTTATGAATGAATGGGCTTACGCGAATCTCAACGCGCTGTCTCGTCAACATTCCAACACTGAAAGCGATCGCAAACATCCAACGTTATCCCTACAATACGTTTGAATCAACGCAACAAAAACTTTCTGTTGACATTATATTGTGGCGTATATTACTCAAGTGAAACCAAACAAACAAACAATCAATTAAAACGCCACAGCAGGCTGAAGATGAGGATTCACTGAAGACGCGTTACGCTGAACCTTTGTATGTATTGATCAATCTCTTTATTACGCTATTTCACAAAAATAAACAACCAATCACTTACTTGAGCGATGCATGGTGTAAGCAGTGCAAAGGTACCTCAGAGAAAGGATGTTAGTAATGATCACATTGATGGAAAAACAGTGGTAAGGCCAGTGGTGACGGTCAACAGAAAGTTTCTCCCCATAATCACCCTGCAGCCATGATCCAAACCCAAGCTTGCCGCACAGGTGCGCACACTCACACATTAATACAGACATCGCACCCCCAGTAACGCCCACAGTCACCGATGACGTAACCATGCGTGTGCATGTACACAACAGTGCAAGAAAAAGAAAAAACATAATAAAAGCCCAAAACCCAGTGTATGGCTCCTACAGTACTCGTATTTTCCGCACTATACACTCACCGGCCACTTTATTAGGTACCCCATGCAAGTAACGGGTTGGACCCCCTTTTGCCTTCAGAACTGCCTCAATTCTTCGTGGCATAGATTCAACAAGGTGCTGGAAGCATTCCTCAGGGAGTTTGGTCCATATTGACATGATGGCATCACACAGTTGCCGCAGATTTGTCGGCTGCACATCCATGATGCGAATCTCCCGTTCCACCACATCCCAAAGATGCTCTATTGGATTGAGATCTGGTGACTGTGGAGGCCATTTGAGTACAGCGAACTCATTGTCATGTTCAAGAAACCAGTCTGAGATGATTCCAGCTTTATGACATTATCCTGCTGAAAGTAGCCATCAGAAGTTGGGTACATTGTGGTCATAAAGGGATGGACATGGTCAGCAACAATACTCAGGTAGGCTGTGGCGTTACAACAATGCTCAATTGGTACCAAGGGGCCCAAAGAGTGCCAAGAAAATATTCCCCACACCATGACACCACCACCACCAGCCTGAACCGTTGATACAAGGCAGGATGGATCCTTTCATGTTGTAGACGCCAAATTCTGACCCTACCATCCGAATGTCGCAGCAGAAATCGAGACTCATCAGACCAGGCAACGTTTTTCCAATCTTCTATTGTCCAATTTCGATGAGCTTGTGCAAATTGTAGCCTCAGTTTCCTGTTCTTAGCTGAAAGGAGTGGCACCCGGTGTGGTCTTCTGCTGCTGTAGCCCATCTGCCTCAAAGTTCGACGTACTGTGCGTTCAGAGATGCTCTTCTGCCCACCTTGGTTGTAACGGGTGGTTATTTGAGTCACTGTTGCCCTTCTATCAGCTCGAACCAGTCTGGCCATTCTCCTCTGACCTCTGGCATCAACAAGGCATTTCCGC